TAGATTAAGGGAATATATGTTATATGTATGTATGTATAAATAGTGCATTCTGAATTTATATGAGAATAAAATATTTTACAAGTATCTTTTTAGGGTAGCACAATCTGCTATGGAATGGTCTGTAGGATCTACTCTTACCTCTTAGAGTGGCAGGAAAATTTCCCTTTTATTTTCATGATTTTAAGACTCATTTTCTAAAGTGGGAGCATCATCTCAGTCCTAGTCCTTGCTGCTTTACAGTCTTCAGAATTCTTTGAAACAACATTTTGTCTTTGACGGTGATCTCTTTAAATACCCCTTTTTCTTTTCTTCTTCTTTTTTTTACTCCCTGTCAGCTATTGTTTTAGGGAAAGTGATGCTTTCAGTCTTCAAGTCTGCTGAAGTTATTTTGCCTTGAGTTATATCTTGATATTTACCTTATCTATGCATTATGACTTCTTGTTTCTTCATTTGAAGAATTCGATTATTAAATCCCGGTTTTCAAAGCGGGGACAAAAGCAGGAAAATGACTGTAAACACATTTCACTTTGGAAATCATTGTTTTTAATCATTAAAGTGTCAAAATTAGTTAATGCAAAGTGCATTCAATTGTGGAGTAAAAATATTTAAGATTGTGTTGCTATTTAAATCTGAGAAGCAAGCCTTTCTTGTTTTTATTCCATGTTAGAGCTCTTTGTCACAGAGTGGGAAGAAGTGTTGAAAGGTTATAAGGAAAGATAAGGAGAAGATGAATGTGATTTAAGAGGCTTCTGAGAAGATGAATTTTTGGCAATGTGTCTTGATAAAAACAGGTATTTTTTTAGATGTCTTTTTAAAAATTAGATTTCTGCCCTAGCTGGTTTAGCTCAATGGATAGAGCGTCGGCCTGTGTACTGAAGGGTCCCAGGTTCGATTCTGGCCAAGGGCATGTGCCTGGGTTGTGGGCTCAATCCCCAGTAGGGGGTGTGCAGAAGGCAACCAATCAATGATTCTCTCTCATCATTGATGTTTCTATCTGTCTCCCTCTTCCTTCCTCTCTAAAATCAAGAAAATACATTTTTTTTAAAAAAATTAGATTTCTGCCTTAGCGAGTTTTCTCAATGGTTAGAGTGTCAGCCCGAGTGACTGAAGGGTGTCAAGTTGGATTCTAGTCAGGCACAAACCTCAATTGCAGGCTCTATTACCAGTCCCTGATCAGGGCACATGCAGGAGGCAGCTAATCAATGTATCTCTTTCATATCAGTGTTTCTGTCTCTCCTCCCTTCCACTCGCTCAAAAAAAATTTTTTTTTCAAATGGAAAAAATATCCTCAGGTGAGAATTAACAAAAAAAATTGTTTCTTTAATCTTTTGTTTCTTTTTTAATATATTTTTATTGATTTCAGAAAGGAAGGGAGAGAGAGAGAAACATCAATGATGACAGAGAATCATTGATTGGCTGCCTCCTGCACGTCCCCTACTGGGGGGCCTGCAACCTGGACATGTGCCCTTGACGGGAATCAAACCTGGGACCCTTTAGTCCGCAGGCCAACACTCTGTCCAAATGAGCCAAACATACTAGGGCCAATCTTTCGTTTCTTATATGCATGGAATAAAACTAAGTATGGTTGCTTGCCTGCAATTTAAAGATTAAGAAACAAATATGGTGAATAAGAGCTGTTTTCTGTGTTTAAATCAGAGCATAGTACTTAGTCCTATTTATATGAGTAATATTGAATATCTGTTTTAGTGTCAGGAGTCAGTTGTGTGAAGCAGGTACATCTGAAAGTTTCAGAGCATAAAATATCTAAATGAGCATACATATTTTATATCTGTTTTTACATAATTAGAAATGGTTTACTTGGTGCAAATAGCTCCTTAGGCTGATTTCTGTATCCAACTATTTGCAGAAATGCATTTTTGTGATATCAGCTAAAATCAAAACACAAGATTCAGTGAGCAAATTCTTAGAAAATGTACTCTGATAAATGCACAGGAAGTGCATGACAATCAGAACAATTCTTTTTAAGATTAGGAAGGTTTACTGAAATACTTATTTGTAGTTTTATTATATACCAATCATTATTATATGTGCTTTACAAATACTAACTTTTTAAGTTCTCATAACAATCCTAAATATTTATGTTTTTTTTTAATTAAATCTTTATTGTTCAGATTACATTTGTTCCTCTTTTTTTTCCCCCCATAACT